GAATTAAAAACTTTAATGGAAACCGGTTCGATAAATGTGCAATAAATAACAAGGATACAAAAGGAGGCGAGGAAAAGGACACTGAATAAGTGTCGTCTTTCACCGTAAAACAGAGGCAGGAGTCAAAAACAAAACAAAATCCAGTCGTTTGATTCTTGTTAGTGTAGTTCTGAGAGGTCCTGGTCCGGGTCGGGACCAGAAGGCATTTAGTGACCTGAGGAAGTGGCTGCCAAAAATCAAAACAGGACAAAATGTTGGACACGAAGAACCTGGAACCATCTGAGAAAAAAAAACATATTGCACGTTGCAAAATAAAAATAAAAATAATAAAATAAAACAACCGTCTGGTTTCAAATGAAGAAAAAACTTCTAGCGAAAACAAACAGGAACTGAAGGTTGTTTTAACTTGACCTGTCCTAACGTCTGGACACGTCTGTGTCCTCTAAAGTTTGCTCAATGACCTCATAAACCAGGAAGTTGGTTCCTAAAGCGCAGAAACAAGCTGTGATCTGATTGGCTGTTGAAAACCTCAGCGTGGGCTCCGATTGCAGATGAGTAAAAACATTAAAAAATAACATTTAAAGTCGACAGGATTCAGTTTGACCATTTCAAAGTGGGTTTCTGTTGTGAATAAATATCTTACTTGCTGTAGATAACTTCTTACACAACCTCAGATTGGAGAAACACGGTTTAATTCTGATAGGGCGGAGGAGCTCATGGCTAGTCGCTAAGATCAAAGCAGACTGGATCTGTTTCTACGACGGCAACAATCCCCAAAAATTAATAACAGAATTTTATGCTAATTTTTAAAAGGTAAAGGTCAGGTGCAAGGAGCCAATCAGATGAGCCCGGGGTGATTTTTTAAAAATAAACAGAGCATTGTTGTTATAAACAAACGGTAAATTTAAAGTCTACGTCTAAATTCAGAGGCCGGGTCCTCCGAAGGTCGAATTCATCGGCCGCTTACRTCACAGCGTCGTGCCGGAGGCTGTTCAAATCCTGATACTCCTCCGAAGCGATCGACAAACGAGCGCTTCTTTTGTCCCAGATTTTTAGGAATGGGTCCGACAGATCCTTCTCGGCCCATCATATCCCATAATGCACTGCGGCCCGACCGGAGATTTTTTTTCTGCTCGTAGTGGTGGACGAAGCGAGAGAAAAGAATAACAGTTTTAAATAAAAATTAAAAGTTTCAAGCGGTCGTGTTGTTAAAGCTTTTATCATTTGTATAGACATGTTTTAAATATTATTCTTGTCACAAATCAAAACGAGCTGGTTTAGAGAAATAAACGTCCACATAYGGCGGTTCATTACGTCTTCAAATATTGTGTTAAAGTGCTGTGACCTGCATATTCTTCAAATACAAAAAGTCAAAGAAAACATCTTTATATTTAAGAAAGTTGGAATAATACACACAATTTAACCCATTTTGTCCCATAACTGGCATATTTTCTTTTGAACTTGGCTCAAAGTGAAACAGGAAGTGACATCAAAGGGCAACTCTCTAACAAAAGGAAACTTCCTAATCTTTGTTTATTGAAACAATATTTAAACTCAACTCTTCATCTCTCTGATAGTGACTCAAAATAATCTAAAGAAACATCAGATTCTTCTCTAGTCTGTTGTTAGCTTTTGTAAGTCGGTTTACACGCCGACATTCCCCTTTGACATCACTTCCTGTTTCTTCACACGCCAATATCTCAAGAACTGTTCATCTCAGTGACGTGAAATTTGTTTTGCAATATTTTATCGATGTCCTTTTTCTAAAAATGCATTCATGTTTATTACAAAAATTTGATGTCACGGGCCCTTTAATGTCACCGCAGATTAATTTTCAGCATTTTTTATTAAAATAAATAATTATAGCCGTAACCTTTCTGCAAGCTGAAGTTGAAGAAGCTCTCTAAGATTAAAGATATTAAACTTTTACACAGAAACCCACTTCGATACGTCCCAAACCTCTTTAAACGACATCTGAGAGTTTAAAAGCAGCTGAACACGATCAGCTCAGGCCTCCTGTAAGCCTCTCTGCTCAGCTGCTCATCAGCACCGATATCTTAACGTTCGACAAAAAGGCCGAACATCGATCCGTTCTGCTGCACCGGAGCCTGAAGAAAGTCCCTGATATTAAAAAGCAAAACCCACGTCTGAGACTTTAAACCGGCCCGCAGAGACCGGAACCAGCCTGGATGTAACCGGAGCAGCCGGTGATAAGTGTGATTTCCATTTGAGACATGAAATTGGTGCCAAAACTCACGATTTCTCGCTGCTTTTGTGTTTTTTTTTTTTCACAGCGGCTCCGTCGGAGCAACGAATGAGAGAACAGCACCGTGATTTGCACAGCGAGGCGGTTCTGACCGGAAAGGACACCAAAAATGTCTCGACCTCTTTTAAAGGAGGGAATATTTAGCACCGCAGAAAGCACCAGAGAGGAGTTCTGACCGTCACAAAAACACGTTTTCCACCAGGACTCGTCACATTTATCAAATTATTTCAACAATACTTGAAACATAACGAGGGTTTGAGCTCCACTTTAAACTAAAATACCTTAATTTTGTTTGTTTAGTTGAGTAAAATACTTGTTTATAAGAAAAACGAGATGCAACAAATCGGCTTTACCTTCAGCTTGAACACTTGTTTTTGTTTTTTAAAGGCGGTTCTGATTCCAGAAGCGCTCGGCTCAGACGGAACGGACCTGTTACTGTTTGCAGTTATTCTTACAGCAGCACCATGTTTTACAGCTTTAACACCTGAAGAAAGAAAAATACGATGTTCAAGAAAAGAAAATTCATGAAAAAGCACAAAGTTCTGCAGAAAACCAGGAGATGACATTTCAAACGATTTCAAACTGAAATACAAAAAAAAAAAAAAATTCAGAATATAATCCAGTAAATGAGCTGCAGATGTTTTTACACAGTACTGAAGAGATGAGCTCTTCTTTTTACGTTAAAAAGAAAAAAAAATCCATAATTATCTTTTATTTGAGCAACAATTAAACCGTTAAGATTAAAGAGTTTTAAATGTGGACAAAATAAGAAAAAAAATCTGGATTTTTTTTTTGCTCAAACAAAAATCAGATAAAAATCCACAAACACCAAAACATTTGTCTGTTTTAGGATTGTTTACCATAAAAAAATCTAAAAACTAAACGTCTGAATGTTTGTGGGATTAAGACTCGCAGTGGGGATTAAAAAAAACACAGGAGGAGTTTTGGTTCTGCTGGTTTTGTTCGGACCTGAGGAGGATTTTAAATCACAGGTCGGAGCTCGGCTGAGTTTCCCTACAACACTGGTGGACGGACACACACACACACACACACACACAC